CCATCAGCTAGTAAAGATATCGATATCGTAACAGGGCACCAAGGCAAGGCACACGTCACCGCTGCTCAGGACGCCAGGCGCATAGCTGGCATCGTAGGGAAAGGTCTTTATGTCTTGGATGTTGGCGACAAATTTTCTGTCACCGTCGACAACGCCACGCAGATCACGGTCGGGACCGGTGACGCGATCATCAAGGGCAGGCACGTGACGATAGAAAAGCCTGTCACCCTGCCTATCAAGCCGGGAAAACAAGGGCTAAAAAGGTACTGCTGCATCTCTTTGCGTGTAGAGCTCGCCGGGAGTGGCAGTGTCGATAAGGCAAAGATTATCGTGATAGATGGTCAAGAGTCGTCGGGCACGCCGGAGTATCCATGGTACTCGGATGGCAAGCTCCTGTCTGATGGGACAGTGGCAGATCTGCCGCTCTGCTACCTCCTTATCGATGGTATCACCGTAGGTAAGCCAGCCTTGGCAAGAACATATGAGCTGCTGACATCGATCTCTGGCATAAAAGATGAAATAGTTTCTGAAATAAAAGAAAAAACTGATAAAATTTGGAACCGGCTTTCTGTATACGACGCTAGAGGAACTGTGATCGAAAGTCAAACAATTCCGTCTGACATTGAAGTTAATGTGATATATAGGCAACACTTCGACAGTCCAAGTAGTACCCCACGGGTAGCACGATATGGAACCTTTGTAGCTACTATCGAAGCAAAACACATCATTAGGCAGAAAAATATCCTTACTCAATACGAAGATACGCAAATCGAAAATTTTCTCAAATTGAGATTCAAATTGCGAGATCTTTCAAGGCCATCAGACCTCAACAGGGATAAATCACTTGTGCCATTTTTCGGGGAAAACTACAAAAACACTAGTGTAAACTCATATTATGTTGACGCTGATACAGTATTGCGTAACGAGTTTGATTCGATCTACCTAATAATCGCACTGTCGCGCTCAATGAAAAATACGAGCTACTCTCTTGGAGAAAATCTTGGGTCGCTGACGGTATATAATAATCAGAGAGGCGTTATCACAACCTATAAGGGGTCAGATCACATCGCCATCAATGAAAAAAGAACGGATGCCATAAAAATCACAATTTCTTCGGACTATATAGCAGGTCTGTATAAAAACG